ATTTTGGAGGAGAAGGAGGAGGAGGGAGGAGGTGCTTCCCACCCCTTTGAACTTCGCGTGGGCGGCAAGGGCGGGTTGCGACTTTCCGTCGGGGGTGCGCAAGGAGATTGTCGCCTCCCTAACCCCACACCTGCTTAAATTTCCCGGAATTTCCCGGAACCTCCCGGCACCTCCCCAAATTTCCCCAAATTTCCCCAAATTTCCCGGAATTTCCCCGCATTTCCCGGAATTTCCCGGAATTTCCCCGCACCGCCCCACATTTCCCCGCAAATTTCCCCGCACTTCCGCAAAATTCCTCCGCATCTTCCCAAATCTCCCCACATCTCCCCCCCCCCCCCCCCCAGGGAGACCGCTGCTCCTCGACGGTTCGGGCGAGCTCAACGTGTGGCGCGCGCCGACCGACAACGACCAAGGGTCGACGCTGCGCACCATCGCCCTCCCGCACGCGGCCACGCTCGCCGCCAGCGTCTGGTGGATTCGGCTCGGCCTCTCCTTTCTACGCGCGGTGCCGTACCTCTGGCTGCGGCGGCCGAGCGGCCCCCGGGCTGCGCCTCGCACGAGATCGCGCGAGATCACCCGAGGTTGCCCGAGACTAGGCGGCTGATCGATTCGGGCTCCGTCTCGTACGCCGACGCGTGGGAGGCCGACGGGCTGCCTCGCCTCTCTGCGGCCAGGCGGCGCACGAGATGGGGGATAGGAGCACTAGTGCTGGCGATAGCAGTAGTGTTGCCGTCTCCTCACCGGCCAGGCGGCGCAAGATATGATGATGGTAATCACACACAGTCACAATAATTGTACGCACGAGAACGAGAGTGACACTACTGCCGATGTGCTGTCCCTCTCGGCCCCAAAGCGGCGCACCCTCCCCCACCCCACGGTACCCGAACCCACCCCTCCCCCACCCCACGGTACCCGAACCCACCCCTCCCCCACCCCACGGTACCCGAACCCACCCCTCCCCCACCCCACGGTACCCGAACGCACCCTCCCCCCCTCCTAAGGTACCCGAACCCACCCCTCCCCCACCCCACGGTACCCGAACCCACCCCTCCCCCACCCCACGGTACCCGAACCCACCCCTCCCCAGGCGGCGCACCCGCATTACCCTCGCCGACAGCGAGCGGGTAGAGGTGAGGACGAGCACAGATTGGAGGGCGCCCGGCGGTGCGACGCGCGCGAGGCACCGACGCACCGCGGCGGCCACCCTGCCGCTGCTGCTGCGGCCGCCCGTTCACCCGCCTTCTGACTGTGAGCAGGCACCGACGCACCGCGACCGTCCTCCGCTGCGGCGCGCCGGTCCTCGGTGGGGGCGGGGGGCGGGTGTGAACGGCGCCTCTTCACAGCTGGGGGTGTGAGCAGGCGCGCTCCTCCTCGAGGACGAGGCGGAGGTGCTCCCCGCCGCCAGCCGCTCGCTGCCACGCGTGGGCCTCTCCTTCCGCGTGGCTGCGGCCGCCGCGCAGCACGCGACGTGGTGTGGGCGTGGCTACAGCTGTGAACGGCGTCTCTTCACACTTCACGCTGTGAACAGGCACGCGACGTGGTATGGGCGTGGCTACAGCTGTGAACGGCGTCTCTTCACACCTCACGCCGTGAACAGGCACGCGACGTGGTATGGGCGTGGCTACAGAACGGCGTCTCTTCACACCTCACGCTGTGAACAGGCACGCGACGTGGTATGGGCGTGGCTACAGAACGGCGTCTCTTCACACCTCACGCTGTGAACAGGCACGCGACGTGGTATGGGCGTGGCTACAGAACGGCGTCTCTTCACACCTCACGCTGTGAACAGGCACGCGACGTGGTATGGGCGTGGCTACAGCTGTGAACGGCGTCTCTTCACACCTCACGCCGTGAACAGGCACGCGACGTGGTATGGGCGTGGCTACAGAACGGCGTCTCTTCACACCTCACGCTGTGAACAGGCACGCGACGTGGTATGGGCGTGGCTACAGAACGGCGTCTCTTCACACCTCACGCTGTGAACAGGCACGCGACGTGGTATGGGCGTGGCTACAGAACGGCGTCTCTTCACACCTCACGCTGTGAACAGGCACGCGACGTGGTATGGGCGTGGCCCGTTTGAAAACTACCCGGACCGCTGCTCCGCCGCTAAGGTCGGCGTGCACGCGGCGTCGGCCGACGAGCTAGCAACGCCGTGCGCGCACCCCCGCGCGAGCGCGCGGGGGGGGTGTGAAGAGGCGCTGTTGGTTCACAGCTGCAGGTGTGAATAGGTATGTGTACCCGAGCGAGCACGGGCACCGCACCGGCACGCGTTGGGTCGAGGTGGGCGGCGGCGGCGACGGGGAGGGGGAGGGCGGCGGAGGGAGTCGACCGGGCGGGCGAGGGAGGCTGCGGCTGAGCTGCGATGCGCCGTTTGGGTTCGGCCTCCTCCGCCACGGCGCCGCGCGCCTTGCCGCAGCGACGCACCAGGCCAAGCTCCATCCCTCCCTCCCTTTCCCCCGGCCCCCCCCCCCCCCTTCCCTCTCTGCTTGCCTCCCTCCCTCTCTGCCGGCCCTCCGGCTCTCTCGTGGCCTGCTACTCCCCCCCCCCCCTCTC